TCTCGATGCGTTCATAGCCGACTCCTCCCTGCTGGACGTGATGATTTCGTCCTCCGCCGAAGTTGAGAGTACCCGGCTTCTCCACGGCGGACAGATCTCGGAGATGGAGGGAATTTTATTTTTGAAAAGTACCGAGGATATCGATTCTGGCTACCGCCCGAGGACTCTGCCTTGGACCAGCTCCGAACCTCGCTGACGGGAAACCCCACGGAGGTTGCACGATTCGCGCGCGGGACGGTCGACGCCCTTGTCTCTCGACCATTCAGTCGGCCATCTCTTTAATGCTTGGGAAGCTGAGAACGAGGTTTTCCCTCTTATCTCACTTACGCTTGCGTGAAAGATCTCCGCGATAACGTTCAACGCTGTGTTCACAAAGAGAACGGAATCGGTATGACTAGTAGACAATCGTCGAGAAATGTGATCGGTGCAGGGTTGAAGGACAGAGACGATGTCTTGAGGAAAGCCAATGTGACAGCGATCAATGCCACTCCTGCGAGCGTTACTTCCTGCCAAGAAATTGCATTTGAATAGAATTTCAGACCAGCTGATCAGATGATGATTCAATAATTCCACTCGACGGTAGAGAACTAGTTTCGCGGATCGATCCCGAGCGCCTCTGCTTCACATTGGGCATCGGATTCGCATTTTCCCTCGCGCATTTGGAATCGAATTCGAGACATATCGGATTCCGCCGATATTGGGGTTCGACAACCGCGTTCTAAGACCGCTTGCTGAGACGTTGTCGACGTGTTCCCTCATCGCTTCTCAATTCAATGACGGATGGAATGAGGGATAACAAGCTGACCATGTCGCTCGTCAGGCGCAAGAGAAGAATTTATGAAGTATGGGAGCGGGACCCATGTCCGTCATCGCGAGAGTCGTCGTAAATTGCAACCAAACTCATCAGATCCCACCGAATACCACGCTTTTCCCCTGCCACGCTTCCGCGCCCCGCAGAAAACGCACGATGGCTCTGTGTAAAAACGACTCGTGTTCGATCGACTTTGTTAAATCCTCACTCATCACGATAAATATATCTTCATCACTGTATCAGTATTAACAGTTTGGGTTCGTGCCCAGCCATCAGACATACCCGGTGGAAAACTTTGTATGTTCTTATCCTAGATATTTACCTTGCAAGGTTTCGGTCAGCCCGATGCCTCATTTCGCCGGCACTGAGCTGTAGTCGCTTTATCAATTAATCAATGAGCCATTTAATTTACGTCAAACATGTAAGTTTTAGTAAATTTTTCCCCATGCTCCCGCAATTCGATCTTTTCCCTCCGGTTCAGGAGTTACGAGGAGTGATCTTTCTCCCGTGTTGCTCTTGAGAGGTCCTCGAGATCCCTCTCGATGTTGAGAACTTTCACCTGATTCCCACACTCATCGGTGATTTCCGAGACAATTTGAGGTTCTTCGTCGTCGTCATATATCGTCTTGGCCGCTATAGCGACTATGTCTTCTTTGGGAGTATTGCTCTCGATGTGATCTCCGTTCCGGTAGTCGCAGTGCAAACAGCTGAGAATCTTGTTGTCCGGCCCCCGATGCGTTTTGGTCACTACGTGCTTGCATCCCGGACAGTGCGCGGTATAGTAGTCGTAATTCTTCAAATGTCGAGCGATATCAGTCACTTGTTTTGATTTGAATTTACAAATTCCGCAAAGGAACCATTCGCCGCACTTTTTCAAGCGTACACTCCTGGAGTGGCAGCGACATGCAAACGATTCGGCTCCAGTCTCCGAGTCTCTCTGGTCTGAGGGGTGAGACGGGTCGCAATGGGTGTGCAGCTCGAGACCTCGAACTGGGACTCGGCTGCCGTCTGGAGCACTTCCTCGCTTTGAACTCCGTGACTCTCTCGTTTTCTCTTGCTGAGGATTTTCCCGCAAAACTGGACCTTCAATGACCCTTTGAGCTTCGAATTCTTTGGCGAATCACCGGCGGGCCGTTTCTTGCTCTGCTTCATTTCCGGGGACAAATTTTCTCTTCTTCGAGCTTTCCGATTCTTAGGCGGTGGAGCGAGCTTCGACGCGTTCCTCCGACGTCGTTTCACTCGCGCCTTCGGATCGTCCTCGGTAGGATCGACTTCAAGTTGCGCTGGGCATCGGCGATTCTCCGCTCCCTCGATTCTTCCACCACTTGTTGTTCCAGCGAGGCGGCAGCTTGTTGGAGTGCAAACTCCAAAGATTGAGTGGATTGAGGCTCCGAGCTGTGGGGAGGCGATCGGAGCTCGGAGCCCGCGGGCGCTTCCTCTTCTTCTGGGATTTCTTCGCGTCGGCTCCGTTTCTTGTGCAAGGCTATTGCGTTTGATATCGAGTCATTTGCGTGCGGGGTCCAGTTGACGCTCGAACGTAGACATAGCCGTTTATCGACCGTCGGCTCCGGTGAGACTCTCGATGGGTGGGATGTCACGCTGCAGGCAGCCACGCTCTCGTTATCTGTTCCAGAGTTGCAGGAACAGATAATGTTGATGGGTGAGATTCTGCGTGATGGGCGGCGTCCCCGAGGTCGTCGGAGAGCTGAGGGGCTCGCTCTCGCTCGTTCTCCGGGACCTTCGCCGGTTCTGTGAATCGAGGAGATTTGTCAATCGACGTCCTAACTGGTGAACTCTCCTTATGATTTCCGACTGGGCATGCACTCGGACTGAGAAAAAATTCCGATTCGAAAAGTTCTCGAAGATCCCCTCTAGATCATAATACACCAATGCAAATATCAACAGGGTTTCTCCAATGACTTTATTATTCGTGGCAGATTCCGTGGAAACTCGATTCCCGAACACCTGTGATGCCTCAGCAATTGAGGCGAGAATCAGCTGTGACCATTCCATCCGGCGATGTTCAGCTCCCGCTCTGTTCCGAACCTGCAAGGAAGCTTGAATTTAGGGATTAATCGGAAGCATTTATGCTCCTATGATTTCCCGCCGAGAATTAGAGGAGCGATCAAGCATTGTGCGGGTCAGAGGGGAGCTTTTATTGCTCAGCGGCCCCATTTGTACAGTATATCGCAGTTCAGATCACAGTATTCTTAATGTAATTCTCGAACAATGGGCCGATCTTGTTGGTGTCCTCGATCGGATTCTGCTTCACGTAGGTTATGAACTGTCTCCGGAGACGCGAAAGCTCCGGTAGAGTGATTCTTCGATTGACGTAGTCGACCGGACTTTTCAGAACTTTATCCACGGTTTCCTGCGTCAAACGGTCGAGATCGTACAGGAAATTGGTTGAAAGATGTGGTTGCTGGAAGGAATAGGAGTCAGCGTTTCGTAGTACATGAGCGACTCAGAGCATATGCGAGCGTAGAATTCGATTCGGATGATAGCGCTTCCAATCTGGATAGTATTCTCAATCTCGGAGGTCAAGACTCTTACTGCCATGGTCGCCTGATTTGGCGTTGGAGCTTTTCTGCCGAAAAGCGCTGCGTCCACTTGTTCGAAAGGGACATCTTGTTCCTCTTGTACAATTATCAAGGGTGAGTCCCACCGGTTCTTGGGGTCGGGATCTTCATATCTGAGGGCACAGAACGTCTCAGTCTAAATTGAATTCGAGGCGAGAATCAAGAGGGATGTATGGATCTTGCTTTTCATGGACATTGCTTTTCTCACCTGAGAATCAAGGGGTCAAATGTTTCTCTGGAGTACTGATCCTTTTGAGGGCGATCCGAATTCCTCGGCCATGCGCTCCCGACATTCACCGGCAACGCATTGAGTAGTTTTAACGGACTTCGAGAGGCAGTACAACTCATACCTGCGTGAATGAATGAAACGTCTCACAATCAAACGAATGTCGTCTCCGAGAATCGCGGATCACGGAATGCATACCGAAGAAACTCGGCGGGGGAACGGAAACATTCAGCGTTCGACCTCGAAATTTCATTCCAAGAGATTGACACTCAGAAAGCCATCATGGATGTCGGATCAGGAGCCGATTCTGCAATATTCGATTTGCGAACGCCGGGGAAGATACAGCATCATTTTGTTTGAGCCGTAGAAAGCAATGTCACCCGTGAGCTGAGGCTCACACGATAGAAAACTGAGGCGATATTCACATTACCGATAACCTTTGATGTAATGGCCAGCATCAAATATCAAAATCGAGTCGCGACTCAAGTTTCGCTGAACCTCAGACATCAGGCGACCCCTCAGCTCCTTTTCCTCCTTCGAACTCCATGAAGACTTTGTTCCTGTCCTAAATTTCCGCTTTCGGAGACCGGCATGACCAAAGAAGAAGAGGAGTT